AAAAAATACAAAACAAAACAAAGAAATTTTACCTATCCCATTTGCTTTTTACCACCAACCAAAGATGGCTAGTCAAAATGCTCTTATTCAAATGATCAAGCTGCTAAATTTTTATGAGGCAAAAATAATGTGTGCTGAAATTATGGATCCATTGGATTCACACTTTGATCACAAGTTTAACGCCTTGGTTTTGAGGACAAAACCTTGTCAAGAGGGAGAGTATGATGCAGACATCCAACCAGCGTTGAAGCATGGAGATAAGGCCATGAGCTGGAGAACTCTTTTCCTTTCCTTAGTAAAAGAAACAATCAAGAGAAGTTCAAAGAAATCAAAGATAAACCCCCAAATTCACTCGAATGCAAGTACGGTCCAAAAGACGAAGCACACGAGCCCAAAACCAAACGGACGTGTTATGAGTCAACCCATCATGTTTTATTGACCCATCAAGGAGTTCATACAACCCCAAGCCATGCCAAGACCGGTTCAGATCAATTCACAAACCGGCGGCTAACCCAAGAGATATTAAACCGATCAAAAGATGGACTTTCTATATTTGACACTTTGAGGATTCGTGTATGGTATCCATGAGAGTTTATATTTCTTCTAGAGGCTCTTGAGATGTCATTAAAGTGCACCACCAAGCATGGGATCAAGTGGATCTCTTCACGTTTCAACTTTCCTTATTTGGAGTCAATTACGTCAAATCTGGTCCAATGGATATATTCTTTTGATTTATTTGGTTTTAACAGAATGAAGACATTATACACCACTAAGAGACATCCAAGATGTCAATACTTCATGTCCAAGCTGTCTAGATACAAAGAACCTCATATTTCCTTCATTTGGCCAAAAATCAACCAATAAAGGCGAAGGTTTGATTGCTTTCTTATTTATGTTGAATATTTGATTTATTAGCTTTGTAAAAACGTGTATGAGCTCTATATAAGCTCACTCATTTCCCTTGTAATACTCACCAGTGAATTAATAAAAACAAAACGTTTTAGTATCTCTTACAAAAAGTTTGTTCTTTTGTGTTTTTGTTTACTTTGAGTTGTGTGGATTCACTTCTCTTGTATTCTTGCGAATTCTTGAGCGTTGTGTGGATTCCCTCACTCTTGATTTCGTGTGAGTCACTGTCTTTGTGTGGAATCACTTTGACTTAGGCTTGTGATCTCATCACGAAGGCTTTCACACCTTTGCGTGGCAATCTTCGATCCATTTAATTAGCTTGTCAACTCTTGACATCTTGTGCTCAATAAGATTTGGTGGATTCCAATCTTACATTATTTGGTATCAGAGCTCGGATAACAATCTCCTGGCCACGGTAGAGATTCATAGTCAGCCTCCTTATCGGAAAAGGCAAGACTCTCTTCTCCTTGACTCCATTGGTCTTCATCAGCTTGGTAAGGAAGTTCTTCCTTTGAATACTCCATTGACGCCTCTGGTATTTCCTTTGTTTGTACCTAACAAAAAGATATTGAAGAAGATGTATCAATATGTAACCAGAGGAAACAATATGTAACAAAAGGAAATAACTCAATTTCAATCAACACCAAAAAGGAAATAATGTTTTATGACACTTTTTTTTTTAATAAAAATTTCGAAACTTACAAACTGAAAAGAAAGAAGTAATTTTTTTTTAATGTTATCCAAATTAAATTCGAAACTTAACAAATAACTTAAAATAAATCTGAAAAACTATTTTTATGGGGTTTTTTTTATGTATGAAAATTCGAAATAAATAGCAAACTAAAGCAAATAAACTTTTCTTTTGATTTTTATGGTTTATTAATGCAAAAGCAAGAACGATTCTTCAAAGAAAACACTTTGGAAGAAAACGAAAATACTTGATTAATTTGATTGAAAAGTGATTTACAATGAGACAAAGGACTGAGCCTATATAGGCTCGTTTATGACTCTACTAACGGCTATAAATTAAAAATTAGAAAGAAATTCATGTGAAATAAATGGCAAGACAAAGGAATGAGGCTCTTCTTGGATTTATAGCCGTCGGAGGCTTTATGGTGGCTTGAGCTTGATAAGGCAACTTATATCTCGAGATTAGGATTATAAATCTATGTGATAACAGTCTTTGGTTGATATAGAGGCTGGAAATACTCGCATCTTCAGTGGCTCAAAGGGAAAGAGCTGTTGGACATTAAATGGTCCTTGTGATGCTAAATATGGAAAGTAAGTATATAATTGAATCCTCCTGATAATGAATCTTGACGTGTTCTTAGGAGCCTCTAGTTGTAGTAGATACTCTCCTGGACGCCAAACATGTGATTGAAGTCTCCCAAATCCGAAAGGTTCCAAATAAGGCGAGTGTATGATTCTTCGGTTTAGAAAATTAATATCTTCCAACCAAAAACCGGTATTGATTTGATTCAAAATCCTCATGAGCCTCTGATGGATCAAGAATATAGAACAAGTTGGGTTGTACCTTAAATCTTCTTGGTTTGGTCGAAAATTTCTAATTAATCTGTATATGTCTAAACCGGGCAAGTCCAGAAACACTCAACTTGCAAACTGAATATCTCCTTCGTCGAAACTCTAATTAGGTTGATTCAAATTCTTGTTGTTCTGTAGTTGAGATGAGAACGTTTTTCAAATGGTTTTATGCTCTGAATCTTCGTAGTTAATTCGGTATGCTCCAGGAAAGGCACATGTGTCTTTGTCGACTCCTATGCAGCTTGTGTGGCACGTTTTATGGAGCTCCAGTTCAGCTACTGGTATGATGACCTCATCACTTT